CAGCGCCGGCAGCAGCAGCGGGAAACGCAACGCGGGAGGAACTAGCGACATCTGGCGCTGCTGCTGCTGTTCCTGCTGCGGCTGGAACTCGAGGGCTTAGGGTTTAGGGTTTAGGGTTTAGGGTTTGGGGTTTAGGGTTTAGGGTTTACTTCGGGAATGAATTCAGTTTTGCATCCCGTCATGGAATTGTTGAGCTTTAAACCTGTTATAAGTTTGCCTTCTCTAGAAGGCGCTTTCCAGTCCTCCCCCACAGTGTGGCGGCTCTTGGCCTCCATTTGGCTGCTGCTGCTGCTGCTGCCGCCGCTGCTGCTGCTGCTCATTGTGGCTACGCGCTGGCAGAGCTGCGAGGGAAAGCTGCTGCTGCTGCGGTAACTGCTGCTGCTGCTGCTGCTGATGCTGCAGCGAACCGGAGAGTTAAAGGCAAGCGCGCCCGCGACGGAGTGCCTGCAGCAGCAGCAGCAGCAGCAACAGCAGCAGCAGCAGCAGCAGCGGCGGCGAAAATACAGTGGACGCGATGCAGCAGCCACTGGCCACAAAGTCACGAAGCTGCACACAAGACAAGAACGCTCCTGCTGCTGCTCACGTCGGCAGCAGCAACAGCGGCAGCAGCTGCTGCTGCAGCAGCAGCCAGTACTGCTGCAGCAGCAGCGGCAGCTAGATCAGGAACAGACCTGGGTATTTTCTGCAGCCACTTGGCCGCTGCTGCCATGCAGTGTTGGTTTGTTTTGCTGTTGTGGGGCCCCAGCAGCGCAACGGCTATCGGCAGCAGCAGCAGCAGCAGCAGCAGCAGCAGGGAAGCGTCTAAGGATTTCTTTCTGAGTTTCTTAAGCAAATAAATATTATACAAATTGCAAAAGGGAAATAGAAGAATCCAAAGCCCGACGGGCAAGGGCCCAACCAGCATAGCTTGTGGGGATGCAGCTGCTGCTGCTCTTGCTGCTGCTCTTGCTGCTGCTGCTGCTGCCGCTGCTGCTGCTCTTGCTGCTGCTGCTTACGAAAGAAACTTTCTGCGCCTGCTGATGCTATGTCTTTCTATGTGGGAAAAACCGAGGCGAACCTTAAACAGGCCGAGACAGCCTCAGGACAGCAGCAGCAGCAGCAGCAGCAGCAGCAGACCGCTGCCGCTGCTGCGGCGATCCTCGAAGCACTGCAGCGTCCCGGCTTTAAGTGTACGTACACCTCAACTTCTTTTCCTATTTTTAATCCTTTTTATTTCTTTTTAATTCATTTTGTGTCTCTCAAGCTCCTCTCATTTGCTGCTGCCGGGCCCCAGCAGAAGCCAGGTGTACGTACACCGCACGGGCCTTGGAGCTTTCGAATAATCGACGGAGCAGCTGCAGCTGCACACAACAGCAGCAGCAGCTGCTGCTGCTGCTGTGTGCAGCAGCAGCTATAGCAGCAGCTGCAGCAGCAGCTGCACACACAGTAGCAGCTGCAGATTCAACTGCAGCAGCAGCTGAACACAGTAGCTGCACGTAGTAGCTGCTGCAGCCGCAGCAACAGCTGCAGCATCAGCTGCACACAGCAGCTGCACATAGTAGCTGCTGCAGCTGCAGCAGCAGCTGCAGCATCAGCAGCAGCTGCAGCATCAGCAGCACACAGCAGCTGCACATGGAAGCAGCTGCAGCATCAGCTGCAGATGCAGCTGCTGCTGCAGCTGCTAACACCGCGGGAGCAGCAGCGGCTGGGGCTTCTGCTGCTGCTGTTGCTGCTGCTGCCTGTTGCCTGCTGCTGCCAGGCCTGCTGATTTGACTGCTGCAGCAGCACCAATCGCTGCTGCTAAAGCTGCTGCAGTAGGGGATGCTGTGGAAACCATTGGCACTGCGACAGCTGCATTGACGGCTGCTGCTGCTGTTCGGCTGCTGCTGCTGGTCGGCTGCTGCTGCTGCTTGGCTGTTGCTGCTGCTCGGCTGCTGCCACTGCTTGGCTGCTGCTGCTGCTGAGCAGCAGCCGCTGCTGCAAAATTCCGAAGAGGATAAGGGGTGCTGCTGCCTCCGTTATCTCCGCCTTTGCGTGAGGGCCTCAGATCCACAAGTTTAGGGTTTAGGGTTTAGGTTTTAGGGTTTAGGGTTTAGGGTTTAGGCCCCTCTGAGCCTGGGACGTTGCTGCTTCAGAGTCCGTTTCAGGGCCCCAGCAGCGGCTTCCTCTTTGCTGCTGCTGCTGCTGTTGCTGCTGCTGCTGCTGCTTGCAGACACCTAACAGCATCTGGTGTGTATACACACCTGCTGCTCTCTGGGGTGTATGTACACTGCAGCACATTAGGGGTGTACGTACACCGGAAAGTCCGCAGTTTCGTTTTCCAAAGAAGGGTAAATTAAATAAATAAAAATTAAAAATATAAATTAAGATAAATAAATAAAAATAGAGAAAAATAAAAAGGGGAAAAGCCGAGGAATGGCAAAGCGCTGGGGGTCAAGCAAAGCATTAGGGTTTAGGGTTTAGATACCAGGGTTTAGGGTCTACGCATTAGGGTTTAGGGTTTTAAGTTTAGGATTTAGGGTTTAGGGTTTAGGGTTTAGTTAAAGCTCATCTAAAGAAACGCATAAAGCTTTCAGCAGTCCGTTGGGTGCAGCATCACAAGCTGCCCCTTCCAAAATAACTGCTAGCTAGCTAGCTTCCAGTTTGCTGGCAGCAAGCTGCGGCAGCTAGCTACCAGCTAGTTACCAGCTAGCTACCAGCTAGCTACCAGCTAGCTACCAGCTAACTGTAAGCTAGCCACCTGGCAGGTCTACGCGGCACCAGCTAGCAGCCAGCTAGCCACAGGCTGGCAGCCAGCTAGCCAGAAGCTAACCAGCAGCTAGCTAGCTAGCTAGCTAGCAGCTAGCTAGCTAGCTGGCCGGGGCCCCGCAGCGCTAGCTCGCTCCTGCTAGCTAGCGCTGCTGCCGCTCTTCGGGAGTTCTATGGAGGTTGGCTAGCTAGCTAGCTAGCCACGGGCTAGCTAGCTAGCCCGTGGCTAGCTAGCTAGCCAACCCACGCGCCAGCTAGCTGGCGAACCCGTGAATAGCTAGCTATGTAGCCCCCGGCTAGCTAGCTAGCCAACGCACGCACTAGCTAGCTAGCTAGCCCTGCCGTGGCTAGCTAGCTGGCTAGTCCTGCCTTGGCTAGCTAGCTAGCCTTCCCGTGGCTAGCTAGCTAGCCAGCCAGGAAATAAAAAATTAGCCCTTATTCTGTTTTTGATTCAAACCTAAAGAAACCTTTGTGTGAGAGGCCTGGGAGCTCTTGGAAGCAGCTGCGATGAGGACCCTCCAGGGTTTAGGGTTTAGGGTTTAGGGTTTGAGATTCAGGGTTTGCCGGTCAGATTCTATGTCCAGTCTTCTTTGCTCCTGCAGAGAGACAGACACCCGGCTGCTGCACCTCCAACGGCCAAAGCTGCTGCTGCTGCTGCTGCTGCTGCCAAGGCGAAGTGCCTTCTACAAGCTGCTTTGGCTGCTGCTGCCGTTGCTGCAACCTGCTGCTGCTACTGTAGTTGGCCTCTTTGTTCTTGCTGCTGGCATCAAAGCAGCAACCCTTACTGCTGCTGTTTCTGCTGCTGCTGCTGCTGTCAAAGCAGCAGCCGCTGCTGCTGCTACTGCTGCTGCTGCTGCTGCTGCTGCTGCTGCTGCTTAGGCCCGCTGCGCCACAGCAAGGAAGTCATCGAAGGCCCTATTGACTGCAGCACCGGCGGGTGTTTTGTTTCCTTCCTGCAGCAGCTTATCTGCAATTCTGTCTACCCAGTCCACATTCTTTTTGCTGCTGCTGCTGCTGCTGCTGCTGCTGCCGCCCCGCATGAAGGCGCCAACTGCAGCAGCAGCACGCGAAGCCACATCTGAGGCCTGGGCCGGGTTAATGCTCCCGAGGCCCCCAAGGAGAGGCAGCACAGGCTGCTGCTGCTGCTGTGCGGGAGGCTGCTGCTGCTGCTGCAGTGCAACAGGCTGCTGCTGCACTTGCTGCAAAGCTAGCTCCTGATGCTGCTGGGCCTGCTGGGGAGTGGTAAAGAGCTGATACTGCGTTTGGAAGGGCTGCTGCTGCTGCTTTTGCTGCTGCAGGGGGTCTACGAATTGCTGCTGCGGCAGGGGCTGCTGCTGCAGCAGCTGCTGCTGCGGCAGTGGTGGAGTGAACGGCTGCTGCTGCAGCGGCTGCTGCTGCAGCAGATCCGGTTGCTGCAACAGGCCTTGCTGCTGCGAGAAGCTTGGCTGGTACTGCTGCATCGCGGGAGGAGCAGCAAAAGCTGCAAGGTTATCTTGGGGAGGTAGTAGGTGCTGCTGCTGCAGTTGCTGCTGCTGCAGCTGTTGCTGCTGTAGCTGTTGCTGCTGCAGCAGCTGCTGGCTGACGAGCTGCTGCTGCAGCAGGTGCTGCTGCGCAAGGTCTTGCTGCTGCTGCTGCTGCAGCGGGCTTACTGCAGCCTCAAAATGAGTGTCTCCTGCTGAAGCCCCAAAGACAACGCCTTGCGGCAGCAGCCCCGCAGGTGCAACGGGAGAGCCGAACTGTGCTGCTGCTGCTGCTGGTGCTGCTGTCATTGCTGCTGCTGCTGCTGGTGCTGCAGCTAGAGGTGCTGCTGCTAAGGGTGCTGCGGCCAGGGGTGGCGGTGGTGCTGCTGCTGCTGCAGACATGCCCTGCGCGGACATTGGAAGCATCAGCGAGGGGGCCCCTGCTGCAGCAGCAGGAAGTCCTGCTGCAGCAGCGGGAAGTCCTGCTGCAGCAGCGGGAAGGCCTGCTGCAGCAGCCGGAAGGCCTGCTGCAGCAGCAGGAAGGCCTGCTGGAGCAGCAGGGAAGCTCGCTGCAGCGGCGGGCAGGAAGATCTGGGGGCCGGGGGCGCTGAGGGAGGCGGCAGGCGCTGCTGCTGCTGCTGCTGCGGGCTGCTGCTGCAGCTGCTGCAGCAGCTGCTGGGCCTCAGGGGCCTTTTCGCGCAGCAGCTGCGCTATTTTCAAAGTTGCTCCTAAACCCTGAGCCATTTTAATATTATTTCCTTCAATTTCTTTTTTTTGCTGCTTCTGTTTTTTGGAAACTTCCCACGCTGCGAAACCCTCAATGGCTCCTGCTGCAGCGTCTGCTGCTTCCTCCCCCCCTGCTGCTGCTGCTGCTGCTGCTGCTGCTGCTTTCTGTCGCCGACACTCACATATCGCCTTCTGGCCCTTGTTGCGCATGGGGATCGTGTGTCTGTACACCTCGTACTCGTGCGTCTCCGTCTTGCTCAATCCACACGTGTCTTTCCCCTGAACGCAAACCCTAAACCCTAAACCCTAAACCCTAAACCCTAAACCCTAACGCTTAACCTCTTCAGGCCACTTTTGACCCCGAGGACCCCTGCGCGCTGCGCAGAACCCCTCCAGAGCCCCCCTCGCCCCGTCCCCCCAAACCCTAAACCCTAAACCCTAAACCCTAAACCCTAAATCCTAAACCCTAAACCCTAAACCCTAGGCCGTGCCTCGTAGGTGGTGGTGGCGCAGAGGGCGTTTTGCATGGGCACGAAGTGCGTGCGGCAGTGCCGCTGGGACTCGGGGGCCCCATTTAGGGTTAAGGGTTTTTGCTTCCAATCTTTTGGTGCTGCTGCTGCTGGGACGCAGCAGCTGAGGCCAGCAGCAGCGCAGCGCACCGACGGCTGCAGCTCTGCAGCAAACACCCGCGCGCCGCGCAGCCCGAGGGTTTAGGGTTTAGGGTTTAGGGTTTAGGCCTTAGCGTTTAGGCCTCAGGGTTTAGGGTTTAGGGTTTCGGGTCTAGGGTTTAGGGTTTAGGGTTTCGGGTCTAGGGTTTAGGGTTTAGTGTTTAGGGTTTAGGGCTTAGGGTTTAGGGTACAGAGAGTAGGGTTTCAGGTCAGGGTTTAGGGTTTAGGGTTTAGGGTTTAGGGTTTAGGGTTTAGGGTTTAGGGTGCGGCCGCACTGGGGTCTTCGAGATCGACCCCGAGCTGGGCCTTGAGTCCTTCCTGCTGCACATGTTTTGCTGCTTCTATCATTTGTTCCATTGGCAAAGAATTCATAAAGCTGTTTCCCGCGTCAGCAATCTTTCCCGTTGCAGCAGCAAAGTTGGAGGCCCCTGCGATGAGGTTGGGTGCAGCCAGCAGGTCCCCCGCAGCAAGTCCGGCGAGGGGGGCCCCCAGGGGGCCCCCCAGGGGGCCCCCCAGGGGGGCCCCCAGGAGGGCCCCCACGGACTCCGTGCTGCGCGTTGCTGCTTCGGGGGCCCCCGAAGAAAGGCCCGGGAGGCCCACGAGGGGCCCCAGTTGGTTCACAGTGTTTTCTATGGCGGCGAGGGGCCCCCGCAGCAGGCCTGCGGGGCCCCCTGCTGCTGCTGCTGCGTTTGCTGCTGCTGCGTTCGCCGCTGCTGCTGCTGCGGCGTCTGCTGCTGCTGCTTCCGCAGCAGACGGCAGCGGCGGCGACAGCGGGGGCTGCAGGTCCTCACCGATCCGCTGCAGGTGCTGCTGCACTAGCTGCTGCTGTAGGCTGTGGGGGGACCAGCCGGCCTGCTGCTGCTGCTGCTGCTGAGAATGCCACTCCGCCGCAGCAGAGAGCGCGTCCGGCTGCAGCAGCCCCTGCTGCTGCTGCTGCTGCTGCAGCGGCGGCGGCACAGCCCCAGGCGCATGCAAAGGCACATGCTTTAGGGGGGCCCCCTCGAGATAAGAAGACAGCAGCTCAGGGGCCTCTGCAGCAAAACTCTCTGTGCTTTTGAGTTCCTGCTGCTGCAGCGGCAGCAGCTGCTGCTGCTGCGACCATCCCGGCTGCTGCTCCAAACCAAGCGGCTGCTCCGGACGCAGCTGGTGAGCCTGCTGCTGCTGCAGCTGCTGAAGAAGCAGCTGCTGCTGCTCCTGCAGTTGCTGCAGCTGCTGCTGGAGCTGCTCTTCTGTCTGGTAGCTCGACTGCTGTTGCAGCGGCTGCTGCTGCAACGACTGCTGCTGCAACGGCTGCTGCTGCAACGGCTGCGGCTGCAGTGGCTGCTGCAGTGGCTGCTGCTGCAACGGCTGCTGCTGCAGCTGCTGCTGCTGCAGCGGGAGCTGTTCTAGGGGTTGCTGCTCCCAAGGCTTGGGTGGCAAGGCGTCTTGCCGTTGGTAGCCTGGCTGTGGCTCCAGCTGCTGCTGCTGCAGCTGCTGCTGCTGCAGGGGAAATTCTTGCTGCGGCAGCTGCTGCTGCACCGGTTGCTGCTGCAGGGGAAATTCTTGCTGCAGCGGCTGCTGCTGCACCGGTTGCTGCTGCAGGGGAAATTCTTGCTGCAGCGGCTGCTGCTGCACCGGTTGCTGCTGCAGGGGAAATTCTTGCTGCAGCGGCTGCTGCTGCAATGGCTGCTGCTGCAGTAGTTGCTCCTGCAGTGGCTGCTGCTGCAGCGGCTGCTGCATCGGCGGCGGTGGTTGCTGGAGGATATCCTGCTGCAGTGGCTGCTGCTGCAGCGGTTGCTGCTGCAGCGGCTGCTGCTGCACCGGTTGCTGCTGCAGGGGAAATTCTTGCTGCAGCGGCTGCTGCTGCAATGGCTGCTGCTGCAGTAGTTGCTCCTGCAGTGGCTGCTGCTGCAGCGGCTGCTGCATCGGCGGCGGTGGTTGCTGGAGGCTCTCCTGCTGCAGTGGCTGCTGCTGCAGCGGTTGCTGCTGCAGCGGCTGCTGCTGCACCGGTTGCTGCTGCAGGGGAAATTCTTGCTGCAGCGGCTGCTGCTGCAATGGCTGCTGCTGCAGTAGTTGCTCCTGCAGTGGCTGCTGCTGCAGCGGCTGCTGCATCGGCGGCGGTGGTTGCTGGAGGATATCCTGCTGCAGTGGCTGCTGCTGCAGCGGTTGCTGCTGCAGCGGCTGCTGCTGCAGTGGCTGCCTCTGCAGTGGCTGCTGCTGCGGCGGCGGTGGTTGTTGGAGGGTCTCCTGCTGCAGTGGGTGCTGCTGCAGTGGCTGCTGCTGTAAATGCTGCTGCTGTGCGGATTGCTGCAATGAGGACAAGACCTGCTGCTGCTGCTGCTGCTGCTGCTGCTGCTGCATTTGCTGCAGTGGCTGCTGCTCCTGATGCACTTGTTGCAGCGTTTGCTGCGCTATTGGAAGTAGTGCAGGGGCCTCTTGCTGCGGCAGTTGCTGCAGTAGAGTCCCTTCTTGCTGCAGTGTCTGCTGCAACAGCTGCTGCTGCAGTGGTTGCTGATGCAGCGATGGCTGCCCCAAGTCCAGCTGTGGCTGCTGCAGCGGCTGTTCCAACGGTTGTGGGGGCTGCTGCAGCTGAGGCAGCTGTTGCTGTTGCTGCTGCTGCTGCATCGGCTGCTGTAGCGGTAGCTGCTGCACCTGCGGTGGCAGCTGCTGCAGCATCTGCTGGAGGGGTTGCTGTGCTTCCTGCTGCTGCTGCTGCTGCGGCTGCTGCTGCTGGTACTCTGGCTGCAGCTGCTCCAAGGGTATCTCAGGGAAAGGCTGCAGCAACAGGTCTTGCTGCTGCGAGGCCATCTGTTGCTGCTGTGGCTGCTGCGGGTCTTCTTGCAGAGGCTGCTGCTGCTGCTGCACCTCCTGTGGCTGCGGCGGTCCGTACGGTGGCAGTGGTACTGCTGCTGCTTCTGCTGCAACTGCAGCAGCAGCTGCAGCAGCAGCAGTAGCTGCTGCTTCTGAGTTCGGCAGAGCGCTGCCTTGTGCTGCTGCAGCGTCTCCAGCTATAATTTCTGGTGTCTCAGGTTGCCCGATTTGCTGCTGCTGCTGCTCCGACTGCTGCTGCTGCTGCGGCTGCTCTTGCTGCAACTGTTGCTGCTGTGGTTGCAGTTGCCCAGGAAGCAGCTGCTGGGGCTGTCCCTGCTGCAGCTGCTGCTGTAGCCACTGTTGCTGCGCAATTGGCAGCTGCTGCTGCGGCTCTTCCTGCTGCTGCTGCTGCTGAAGCTGCTGCCGCTCCTCTTTCTGCATCTGCTGTGGCTGCTCTTGCTGCTGCTGCTGCTGCTGCTGTTGTGAGTGCTCTTGCTGCAGCGGCAGCACCTGCTGCTGCTGAAAAGGCAGTTGCTGCAGCTGCGGCGGCTTCTGCTGCGGCTGCTGCTGCTGCTGCTGCTTTGGATCTACCTGCTGTAGCGGCAGCAGCGGAGCTCCGAAGAAAAGTGTTGCTGCTGCATTTGGAGCTGCTGTTGCTTTTGCCCCGATGAGTGGTGCTGCTGGAGTGGGCCCTGCTGCAGCAGCTGCTGCTGCAACTGGCGCTGCTGCTGCTGGCTGCAGCGCTGGTGCTCTATCCGGAGCAGGCCGCAGCAGCAGGTGCTCCAGGAGCTGCTGTTGCTGCGGGTTCAGCTGCTCTGCCTGCTGCTGCTGCTGCGGCGGCGGCTGCTGCTGCTGCTGCTGCTGCTGCTGTTGCTGCTGCTGCTGCAGGGACTCGTCTGCTGAGAAGCCGCTGAGGATCCCTGTAAGGTCTTCTGCCTTCGGCGTGGGGGCTTTTTGAATTGCTTCGGAAATAAAGCCCAGAGGAGATTTGCTGCTGCCAAAGACAGACTGCAGCAGCGGGAGCTGCAGGGCCCTTCCTGCTGCTGGCACGAGGCCTGCAGCAGCAGCACCCTTCTGCTGCTGCTGCTGCTGCAGGGGGCCCCGGAGAAATAGAGGACCTGCTTGCAGGGACCCCAGAAGCGTTGCCGCCGGCCCTGAAGCAGCAGCAGCAGCAGCAACAGGAGCAACAGCAAGCCCGCAGCAGATGCAGCAGCAGTTCACCGGGAGAGCAGCAATAGAAGCAGCGGCAAAAGCAAACGAACCATAGCAACAGGCGCTAGAAGTCGCCCCTCACCTGCTGCCACGTGCTGCTGCTGCTGCTGCTGCTGCTCAGCAGCAGCAGCACAGAGAGCGCCAGCAACAGCTACAGCCACCAGAGGTCGCCAGATGCAGCTGGCAAGGCGGCTGTTTGGAGGGTCCCTCATAGTACATACGCGCAAACCTTAAACCCTAAACCCTAAACCCTAAACCCTAAAACCTAAACCCTTGTTAATAAACCTTAAACGTATTGCCTTCGCAGCAGGCCAACCTGAGAAGAGTCGGGGGGCTTTTTATTAACCGCAGAAGTGTATAGAAAAGGACCAAAAGGGTTATCTTAAAACCTTAAAAATGGGGTGGCCACAAACCCTAAACCCTAAACCCTAAACCCTAAACCCTCGCCGTGCTGCGGCAGGCAGCGGAGCAGAGAGCTAGGCCGGAAAAGGGGGAGAAAAGCGTTCAACTTGAGTGTCTTTGAGGAATAAACGATAAAAATAGAAAGAGCCCTGAAACCCTAAACCCTAAACCCTAAACCCTAAACCCTAAACCCTAAGGGGGGAGCGGGCAGGTGACCCCCCGCTCCTGGGATAGGCGTCCCTGAGCTCAGGCAGTCAAGATAGCCATTTCGTCTGTTGAAAAGAATTAAATAAACGAATTTATTTTAAAAGTCTTTTGGTTTTAATTGAGGGCTCCAGGCGTCTCGCTTCGGGTGTATGTACACCTCAGCCGGTAGGCTGAGGTGTACACTCGCAGCTGATCTCGGGGTTGAGATTTCTTTTGTTTCTTCTTCTTAAGGGGCAGTAGTTCCTAATAATTATATTTTCTTTTTTAAAAGTGTATTTCAGGCTTTTATGCACACAATAGGGGCACAAGTCGCGAGTCCCACGCTCTTTTTGCTGCAGCTCAGAGCAGCCTGAGGTGTACAGACAGCTTGAGGTGTGCAGACAGCTTGAAGTCTACAGACAACTTGAGGTGTACAGGCAGCTCCAGTTGTACAGACTGCTTCAGGTGTGTAGGCAGCTTGAGGTGTACAGACAGATTGAGGCGTATAGACAGATCCAGGTGTACAGACTGCTTCAGGTGTATAGGCAGCGTCAGGTGTATAGGCAGCTTCAGGTGTACAGACAGCTTGAGATGTACAGACAGCTTGGGGTGTATAGACAGCATCAAAGGACAACCAGCTCATTTTGTACCCCCGGAGCTCCAACTGAATACTTTCTACGGAGCCTCAGTGGAGGCAAGTGCGGCTACCTGCAGCAAGCTAGCTGCAGCTAGCTAGCTGCAGCTTGTTAGCTGCAGCTAACTAGCTATAGCTAGCTAACTGCAGCTGTCTAGATCAGCTAGCTAGATCCAGTTAGCTGCCGTTAGCTAGCTGGGGCTAGCTAGCTGCAGCCAACCGGATCTAGCTAGCTGCAGTTGGCTAGAGCTAGCCAAAGCTAGCTAGAGCTAGCTAGAGCTAGCTAGAGCTAGCTGCACCTGGGTGGAGCTCCAGCTAGCCAGCTAGCCACGGCTAGCTGCAGCTAGCCAGTGCATGACTTAAAATAAGGAATTCATCGCGGCCCAAAAGCTGCAGCTCAGAGACAAGCAGCTAGCTG